TAATCCAAAATGAACACGGTTGGGACTTTGAATTAATTTTAATTTATTAATTTTTTTGTATTATTTCGATTATGACAGTCTTACCCAGATGCAGGTCCATTCCCTGTTCTTTCATTTGCCTGTTGGTCCAACTCTGAGAGCAATTTCAGTATATTTAGAGCAGCCTGTGGAGAACAGAGTGAGCATTATAAAATAATACAGTAATGTGGTACCTTGTATGAACTAGATGTAACAAACTCACCATATCATGACAGGATTCTACATCTTTTCCAATGCCATGGCTGATAAGTGGAGGCTGTGCAGAGCAATTGATTAGTGACACAAACTCATTCTTATTATTTTTTGGGAAATCTTTGTAGTCCACCTATAACATAAAGAGAAGGTGTTAACTTCTGGTAATAAAAGTAAAAATACACCATTTACTTTAATACTGTCTCTCCTGTATACAGTGTGCCTTACCTGTAACCCCTGCACTGCAGACAGAAAGCTGAGCTGCTCTGAGGGTCTGGTCAGGGGCCCATGGGGCAGTTGGTTGAGGTTGTTTTTGTTCTTCAGGATGGTCTCTGCAGTGGGAGATGTTCCAGCGTAGAGCAGCTCATTGGCGATCATGGCAGTGACTGTGGCTTTGGCCGGGTTTGACAGAGTGCGACTTGGCTGAGGTCCCTGACAGACCCCCACCGCCTGAGCAACCTCCGGCACCATGGGTAGGATCCCCGCGGGCAGCTGCTGGTGGCTCATGTACGGCAAGCGGAAGTCCTCCTCTTTAATGCCTTATGAAGACAAACATATTCATCATGGGAGATTAGTAACATGTAATCTGAACTTGGTGTTTCATTTCAGTGGACAACAATGAGGAAATCTTAAACTAAGACAATGACCAGAAAACTCAATTTTGAAACTTTTAGTAGCTGTTGGCTGCTCTAATGTCTCTTACCATTTGCTGCCTCTTCAGCCGAACCTGGCTCGAAGAAGGTCACTTTCCGCCCATCACCAGGTTTTTTCACTGGGACCTGTTTGGAACGCTTTATTGATGAAATACTCAGACACTACATAATAAATCATATAAACCATATATTATACAATACCTTTTCATCAGTCTTTAGCGCCGGTTTTGGGGGTTGAGGTTGAGGCACTTTGTATCCCAAAAGTTCAAGCATTTTCTCAGCAGCATTTCTCTTGGCCACCTTCTTACTCGGTCCCATTCCCTCTGCAGACTGCCCCCCCACTGTCACCTACCACACCGAGCGCACCATACAAGTCACATACAAATTGACAATCCCACAGAAATGCACTAAAACATGTCTTTATGTATAATTTCAGGTTTGACATATATGAAAGGACTGCAAATTTATCTACAGCAGTGCTGTAACAAGATTCACAATGTTATCAGTTCTCGCAGAGACACATGTTTAATGACTGCAGCTGACTCACCTGCATAACAAACTCCCGGCGCCGTGGCAACCCCCTCTCCGTCACCATGGTGTACTCGGGCTCCTTCTCCTTTTTGGCCTGTTGGATCTGAGCCAAGCGACTGATGGGATTCATGCCCTGCCCATACTCTGGACTCGTCTGCAGCTGTCAACATCACATCATTACCTCATTCACACAATCTTTAGATAAGCTCTGATGATTTATAAGTGTGAGTATAGGAGTGGGTGACACTGACAAAAAATCTTTGTTTAGATGTATTTAAGAATTTGCCTGATGACAATATTAAGATATATATCAATCCATTAGAAATGGGCTGGTAAATGTCATTGAGGTTCAAGTATTGCACAAAATGGCCTCAACAGTGCAAAAACAGCCACACTTTATACTCATGTTTGGAAGATTACATTGAAAGTTGGTTTTATTTAAAATCGAATCCTTTTGTTGTTTGTTTAGTTTTTTTTCTTAGTTTTTTTAATAGATATACTCAATGTTTGAATTTTTCCCATCTCCAAAACAACAACTGACATTATTCATGTTGTTATACCTTGATAATGGATTTGGTTTTCTTCTTGATGCGTGGCAGAGCCTTTTCCACACTGGGAATATGAGGGAGTTTTTTCAGCTCTCCCAGAACCGCAGCGGCTGCCAGCTTCTTGGCAATCTTTTTACTTTTCCCCTCTCCCTCTCCAACGAACTGGCCAACCGTAACACGCACAACAAAGCTCTTCATGTGAGGAGGGCCATCTTCCTTTAAAACCTGAAACCAGCATCATTTATCAATATGCAGGTGTAGACAAAGTTTGATAGATTTATTTAATTTTCATACCTCAAAGCTGACCGGTAAGTTCCGTTTAAGTGCAATTTCAAACACTTGGCTGATTTCAGATTTGTTTAGGTTTTCCTCTTCCTCCTCCTCTCCATTCATCTATTTTAATATAAAAGTCATGTTGTTTGAAAATGGTCTAAAAAGAATACTATGTAACATTTAAACAGGGTCACTCTGCACTCACCTCAGCCAATTCTTGTAACATGGGCTCCTTCTGCAGCACCTTCAGGGCCTTTGCAGCAGCGTCATGTTTGGCCAACTGACGAGTGCGACCCTTACCTAAAAACTGCTGCCCCCCAACAGAGAGCTCCATGTGGTAAATCACTGGTCCCACAGGGGGGAAAGGATAATAGTACCTACACACAGGAGTTACGGGTGTTTAATATATAAATTGACCAAGTATGCACAGAGGATAAGGAAGCCTACTGTTGCATAGAGCGCTGGTACGGTCCAGGTCCACGGACATTGTAGTTGAAGTTTGGAGGTCTCATTCCGGGGTAAGGGTCAAGGGGTTTGTACATGGGCTTTTTGCCAAGTTTCATACAAATGGCATTCAGCTCCATTATATGTGTCATGCCATCTGTTACACATAAATAAACAAAACTAAGTAAAAATCTCTAATCCAATCAGAAGCATTATGAGATAAAGGGAGGGGGGTGCAGGATGAGGTACCTGGAATCCTGCCGGGTGGGCGGGGCGACCTTACAGTGGGTTTGGGGAGGGTGGTCTCAGACAGAGCAGCTGCAGCTGCTGAGTGCTGGGCTTTCTTGATGCTGGTCCCTTCTGCCTCCCAGTGCTGATCTCCCAATGTGAGTCTGACTGAAAATATCTGACAGCACAAAAACAGTGAGAATGACCAGAACAAGAAATTGTATGAGGATATTTAAGATTTACCTTGGAGTGAGCTGGCCCCTGCTCACTCAACAGCTTATATTCAGGTTGTATCTTATTGAAACGGGCTAACTCATTCACCAAGCACATAGGGGTCTTCTCTTTAGGGTTTGCCATGTTTGATTCTGCAATAGACAAAAGTAATGTTTTTTTTTTTTTCCATATACAGATACTCCACATCCTCATTAGTATGTAGTATTATTGTATATATTTAAGTATGTATGTATATGTAAATTGAGTATGTCATGGTGTGCATGGTAAAGACAGTGTAAGTTCACCTGTGGTAGTGTTGTAAGCAGTGGCAGAGCCTGCAGGCAGGGCTGAGCTCCTCCCTGGCTGACTGGCGCTCTCTGATTGCAGAGTGCCAGATGCACAGGGAATGCTGTAGCCGGGCTGCTGCTGCTGCCCCAGAGGTAAAGGGGCAGGAGCAGCAGGTAGGGGACTAGCAGGGCACTGGAACTGCATCTGAGACATGTCTGAGGGCTCTGGTCAATCACAAACAGGGACACAGCTGAGGGGGTCTGACAGCAAGGTTCTGCCTGTAGAGATACAAGAGGAAGTGTTAAACAAAAATCACAAGTAACCGCTTAACTGTCAGATTGAGTATAGAATATCAAGTGTTCAATATATCTTCTCATCTGTTTGCTTTCATAAAGTTATTTGACTAAATCTGCATTCTAAATCTGAATCATCTAGTTTTTTGTTTGTTTTTCCCAGAAGTGCTTTTATTTAAAAATCTGATTATGAATCCAGTCCTTATAAAACATGATAAAACTGATTTTATGTCTAAACCTATTATGTTTTTATGATGGCACTGAAATGTAAAGTGAATAGCTTCATGCAAAGCTTTGGTGCACAAAGTCTAAGGGGCTGTTGTATTGGGACTCTTGTTGTTGTGGGCAGCTTTGAAGCATATCACAGCCTATTTGGATTTTAGTTCATTTGTGTAGTTTTCTTCGTTGTTCAAGATGAAAAACGTGCATGCAGTACAGGGACAGGCGCATAAAGTCTCCCTTGTAGGCAGCTTTCAGACGGACGGGCTTGTGATTTTTAAATCCCACCCACCCGGTCTAGGAGACAAGATGGTGATGGAGCAGCTCTTAAAATATAGTTCTTACGGATAGATCTATTCTTGTCCCTCAGATCATTAAATACCAGTTGTATTTTGTCAAATTTGCAAGCATTTCTCGGCTTCTGTGGGTGTAGCCCCTAGATATATCAGGCCGAGGAGGAGGCATTTGGAAAAGCCGATGTTAGCCTGTTAGCTTCTAGCCAACAACAAAGCAGGTGTGCTGTAATTTGTAAACCACTAAGACCACTAATTGCAAATTGACATCATGCATTAAAGAATACGTTGCCTACTAATCTTCACCTATGCATTTACTATTTGTTTTTCTTTCCGCCAATTTATAAACCCAACCTGTAACCCTGCTAGCTCCCTCCGTGGCTAATCCTGGACCCTCGACAAGTCAATGCACAGAACTATGCTCACCTCGTCGTTCCTTTGTTCAGTTTTTGGTTACTCCATATGATAGGTTCGTGTACAGCAGCTGCCCTTTGTTGACAACCCGTTTAGGAGGCTGTTTAAGTTTATTTTATTATCAAAACGAGAACGCCGAGGAGATGGGCATATGGAGGACAGGGCAAACACTAAAGAGAATGGTCCTGTGCACCGCCAGCCTCCGGGAAGTGATACACGAAGACGGAAGATGAATTTCAAAATAAGGACAGAAACTATTAAGATAAAACGTCTCATTCGCACAAATAAAGGCAAAATAATTATCTACACACTTACATTGTAATAGCGACAGATTCAATTTAAAGCGAGCAAAATGAAAGGTTTTCTTATGGCTTATTAATTAGCAATTTATTTTTATAACAAGCCAAAACAGTGAGTGAGTTTTTGCATTATAATTCATACAGGTGTAAAAAAGCAGTGGACAATTAGCTATTTATATCATAATCCCAGCTAATAAATATAAAAGTGATTGCAACAGACTATAAAATATTGCTTATATATGGCCTAGAATCCTGTCTAAAATTCCAAAGCTTCATAATAAGAGCAAGTGGGTGTGCTGGTTACAATTGGTCTGAGGAAACATAGAACATGTTATAAGTTATAAGCCTGACAAATATTCAAGGAGTCTCTCATCATGAGATCACGCAGTCGCCACAGTGCATCTGCCATGGTGCCGTGGGCACCTTTGCTCTTCAGCCAGTGCACAGGAAGCCGACTCTCCTGTTCTTTGGTCAAGTAACTTTCTCGACGTTGTACTGCAAGAATAAATACATGTAAACATTAGTTTAACATGATTAATTGTTGAATGTCTCCAGTGATCCTAAAACCGTTTCAAAGAGGGGGTTACTTACTCACCCTTTAGAGTTTGATCCCATTTGCTTATAGTGGTGGACTCTGCGTTCAAGCCTTCGATGTACTTCAGATAGGCCTCTGAGTGAAGCACCCTCTGAGTTTTTGGAGGTGGGGCCACAAACATGGGGGGTGTGGGCTGTAGGTGGGAGGGCTGCCCCTGTCCGGGGTAAGGTGGAGGGGCATGCTGGCCTGGGCTGTACATGCCAGGCTAAAACAATGACATGTGCATTAGATTAGAATACATAGTATATTCCTTATACAACAATGAAACCTACAGCTTTGGTGATATATGGTATCATACCTGCTGCATGAAATTCCCTTGTCCTGGGCTTCCTTGCATGCCATTCATTCCTGGAGCCATCATACCTGCAGAATTAGTCATTAGATAATATTGTACAAATAACAGGTTAAACTTAATGTTATGTTAAATGTTAAATTATTGTAGGTACTACATCAGTATGTCCATGCATTACATGTGTAAATGTTAAAAGTGTAGTAGATGTTGAGTAATGTGTAGATTTGATGAAAGGCTCCAGAGCTTTTGAGTGCTTCAATGTTAAAACAGACCAGGCTCATGGTCTGTACACCAGGTAAACCCTCCAGCAGCAGAGACGGCTGCATGTGACTGCGCAGGTGTGGCTGGGACAGTGCCCTTACCCTGATGGGGCATGCCAGGGTATCCAGGCATGCCATGGTGAAGGTGATGAGGCAGGTGGGGCACCCCAGGGGGGTGAGGTGACATTGTGGCCACACTCAATAAGCCCTCGTGAGGGCCCTGCATGGGCATGTAAGGTGGGCCGTAAGCTCCCATCATGCCTTAGGAGAGAGGGTGAGGAGAGGACATGTTCATGCATAAGTGACATGCAGCTCACTAGAAAAATAACAAAATTACATGCACTATAGATGACACTATAGCCGCATTCTCACAAGCCACTTCAAATGAAATCACAATAGCAAAGTAAAAGGAGATGCAAATAAAATGATGTTTTTGTTGGTGATGTCAATAAATATAATTGATGACAATATAAACACTATAATAATATTATGTAAGAGCAAATTAATGCATTATGGGCGAGCATTGAGGGAGAGCCTTTGGCTTCAATATTTCAGAAATAATAAGTGCATAACACAACACAGCTCAAATTGTTTTATAAAAGTGGCCTGTGAGAATGGAATCTGTGACACAATGAGTTCAAGTATGTTAGCTGGTAGCATGTAAAATAAGCTTTCAATGAAAATGTTACTTAAATGCACAAGCAAACATGCAAACAATGACGTGCAATTTAAATGGTAAAGCAAATAGAAAATAAATGCAATAATAAAACATGAAATTGCAGCACAAATAATACAATGGGAAAACAAAAGCTAAAAGTTTAAACTCATTAATCTACTGATTTAAAAAATAAACATGTAGCTTTTTTAGTCCAGCCTCTTTGCCCTGCTGCCTGTAGTCAAACTTGTGCTGTCTCTCAGAGGGGTTACCTGATGGTGTCATGGACTGGTTTAGCATTCCCATAGTGCTGGGTGAAGGCACCACGCCCATCAGCGCCCCCACAGGGGTACCTGCTCTAGGGGACACTTGCTTCTGGGGGGGCCTCTCCCGCTCCTGCTGCTCCACTATCTTGGCTGCACGCTCTGGGGGAAAAAAACAAACAAAACAAAAAAACGCTCAAAATATAAATTCCAGACACACTTCAAGTGGACTATTGTAGAGCATTTTATATAAAGTAAAAATTACAATATTTTTAAATGAATTCTATATTGTAATGTGTGAGCTACTGCATCCAACCCTCAGAGGGGTTGCATTTCCCTTATGGATCAATAAAGTTTGTCTAATTTGTCTAAACCTAATATTTTAATTGTAGAGTAATTTGTGCATGAAAATAAATAATGCAAAAATATGTGTATGTGGGTGCCAGTGTGCACTATAATTAGTCCTTAGGTATCATGAATATCTTAACAAATGGTAATAAATAAAATAGCAATTTGTACTGTAAAACACCATACAAATAAAAGGCATTATACTACTGGCTCCCTCATTAGACAAGTTCAGAACCATTGGTGCCAGCCTTACCTTCATAATCTGCCTTCTTGGTGGCCTCCAAGTTCCTCCATTCTGTTCCCACGAGACGACTGAGCTCCCCGAAGGAGAAGTCTGGATGTCGGGCCTTGATGACAGCTCTCATCTCACTGCTGAACAGGATGTATCCACTCATGTTGATCTTCCTCTTGGCGCCTTCCTTCTTTGAAAGTCCTTTTATCTTTGGAGTAGACTAAAAAAGTGTTGAATTTAGTGCCTTGTTAACGTTTAGTTGCATTTTGGGCTTAAGATTTGATAAATGGATATATTTAAATTTTTCAATGGAGAGTAGACTACCATTTTCTAAAAATGTAATCTATGGATCCCATAGCAGAACACTTATTGTATGCTTGCACTATCAAATTTTATCTAAAATCTTAAATGAACTAAAGGAACTGACCATGAGGCCTGATTGTTGAAAGATTATTGTACACACTAGTGGTTCCCCTTTGGGGGAGTACCTGAGAAGGTGTGTACTGCATCATGTCCATATCACTGGACATGGGCGTTTGCATCGGAGGCAGAGGAGTTTCTGAGGCTTCTTCATCATCATCCAGGTCCTCCATATCCTCATCGCCATCTTCCAAATCTGCCAGCTTCAGCTCCAGCTCCTCAATCTTCTTATCTAAAAATGGCGAGGCCTCCTTTTGAGGTACAATTAGCTTCCTAAATATAAAATTGAGAATCAAGATTTCAGAGATGTCACTCAGTTTACTGAGGTTTGGCCTTCCCAGTTCAAGCAAAATATGGTCAAACATTAGTTTGAATGTACCTGAAATAGTAAATCTCATCCTCCACCACTTTGGGTGAATATGAGAATCGCTTGAGTCCTTTGAACTTTTTCATTTGCTTCTCTGTGTCGATGTAGCGGCTCTCACACAGTAATACATGCTCCTCTGGGATCTCTGTGGGTCTGCATGACAGGTAGTCCTTGAATGAAGACACCATGCACTTGCCTGCAAGAGTATACAAAATCTTTTTAATGCATGCTGCAAAAAATTCTACTTCCAATCCAGCTTCGAGTTGGGTCTGTACATGGTAAAGGTTTGAGCTCAGGGCCCTAACTGTATAGTTACCTATGACACAGGTCAGTGGCAGTGTCTCCTCCAGACTGCTCAGAAACACCTCTTTCTTATAGAACATCTTTGTGGGCTCATGAGACGTCTCCTCTGGATTAATAAAGATTGGACCAAAGAAAAGTACTGTCCCATTTTGCACCCATAACTTCTCAATCCTGCACACATTTAAATACAAATATCAATATGCAAATAGTTTACAAACACAACAGGAAATTCTCTGAAGTTCAACCCACCTTGCCACCCTGGGTTTTGATAGCCCATGTGACTGAATGTACACACAATCTCCCACCTTGAACCACATGTTGTTAAAGCGTAGCTGTTCATAATAGCGACAGCCAGGATCTCCTCCGCTCATCTCCATCGGGACGTCCTCTTTCTCCTAAAACACACACACAAAGGGCAGCAGTGTTTGTTTATATAACTTTGGCTTTGTATTTTCTCCCTCACAGACCACAGGCACCTTGTTGAGACACGCCTGTGTAACCCGTCTACTGGTTTAATTGATCCCCAAGAGCTGAGGTCATTGGTCAGCCATAGGAACAACAACAACTATATTCACTGTTGTCTCAAGTCAATATTTAAAATGTGGATACAAACTTGTAGGGATGGGACAGCTCACAATTTCCACAAGATAATACACAAGCTTAGGTCCATGAGAATGAGAAGATTTTGACACAGTAATAAAACTAAGCTTCCACATCTTTATTTATTAATATTCTGCTGTAAATGTAGCACTGCTGTTTGGAATTACAGCACGTATTGGTGAGTACAGGGGAAGAATATCTTCCAGAAAATCGTACATCATTCTACTGCACAATCTTGTAGCAATTTTATCTTGCAAATACTTGCCCCATCCTTACAACCTTGCCCTATAACACCAAAATCCTTCGACTCACCTTGTCCACAAAGCTGCCACTGTTTGCATATGAAATTGCCAGTTGCTTGTCCTGATCAGGTTTGGCAAACATAGAAGCAACTCTAACAACTGGAAGTGGCACATCTCGTGGTATAAATTTCACAGAGCTTGTAGGCATTGCCCAAACCTTGATCTTCTTAAAGGTCTTGTTTCTGGCAGTATAGCGAGACTCACACACATGCACATCCTCTGATCGAAAGCCTTCAGGTTGAAGTTTGAAATAGTCCTAATCAAAAAGAATAGTCAATGTTGTTGTTAATGACGTGAATAAACTTAAAATAATAAAATATTTAATAAGGAGACTTACTTTGACAAACATGACCACACACTTTCCAAGGACCTTACTGATGGGCACTTTGTTGTAGTAGTCCCCCTTGAAAACCTCTTTTTCCAGAAACTTGCGAGTGGCCACATGAAATGTTTCACTTGGTCTGTAGAACCAACCGCCATAGAGCCACTTCTCGCCTGAACATAACACAATAGATATGAAGTGGTACCATTGTGAATGAACAGTACTCACACTGAATAATTATGAGTAATAAAAGCTGTGATTATTGTTGTACCCTTTTCGTCCTCCCACAGACGTTCAATGCAGACGATGTGTGGCTGCAGTTTAGGCTCAGAGGGTTCCACATAAACAAAGTCTCCCACGTGATAAGTGCTGTTTTCAAAGCTAAAGTCCTGTTTGTACACGCGTTCAGAGTCAGACTCGGACTGCCACGCCTCACTGGACGAATCTTCACTTTTACCAATGCCTGATTTGGAAAAGGTAATTGTTATGTTAGCCTTAACAACACCCTGTTATCTAATAGAAAGCCTTTACAAACCTTTCTGCTCCTCCTCAGCCTCCTCTGCTTTCTTCTGCCGGTCCTCTTCAATCTCTTTGGGTATTTTTTCCCTCTTTTCCTGCTCCACATCATTGTGGAGGTGTTTCAAATTGTAGCTGAGAGCAGTGGACATCAGGATTTCTCCATTTTTGCATAGTTCATCTCTAATCTTAATGAAAAACTGCTGCAGCTCAACAGCATCTTCAAATATTTCAGAATCAGTTCTGTAAAAGAAAGAGGACATTATCAATCAAAGTTTCTTTTTAAGCTTCATAATCCTAACTGAACAATCAGATTAGAATGTGTACCTATTCAGTTTTCTTGCCCTTTCTAGAACCTCAAACATTTGTTCTTGGAAGACATCTAATCTCCTGTATCGTCCGCGGTCCACGTTCATCCTGATCACCTCCAGGTTGAGTGGAGGTTTTTCTGGCGTGGCTGGATCCACAGCTGGGATCTCAGCCAGAGAGTCGCTATAGCAGCGGCCCTCTTCGTCCTGGTGTCCCATCACTGACACAAACAGGTTCCTGATGAGCTCACGGACCTGTGCCCCCACAGATGGGGGTCCAGTATCCTCTGCCCCCTCTTGTTGTCTCCTGGTCTCCAGCAGGACACGATGCAAGACCAGTGCATCCCGATAGATCAGAGACTCTGGCTCATTGTACATACAGGCATTATTGAACATCAGTGCAAAGTCCTCCACCAGGGATTCTACATCCTGGTATCTCCCACCCGCCATGTGGCTCCTGACTCGCTCCATGTCTATGGGCCTCTTAATTGTGGCGTAATAATCAGGCAACTCTGAGCGAGAGGGCAGGCGGAGGAAGATGGTGCTAAGACGTCTGCCTCTGCGATCTGTGTAGTTCCTAACAGCATCATAGAGCTCATTTAACTTCTGCTGCAGAGGAGTGAGGTATTTGGACTTCTTTGGAGAGGCACCACTCTTCCCTATTGACATACAGGACCATGCATTAGGGCTATTTTTTTGAAAACATAGTGCTATCGTGTTTATACAAGTGACAATCAAAACATTAAGAGCTTACTAAGTTTGATTTTGGGGGATCCCACATCCTCCTCATCAGGAGAAGGTCCCAGCTCCTTGCGTTTGTCTATGAGGATCTTCTCCAAAATATCAGCGTCATTATAAACCTGTCAGCAAACAACAATATTTAAAATAAATAAACATGAAAATAAAAGCACGGTGAATGTTTTTTTTCTTTTTGCACCTGAGAGCCCTCCTCATTGTAATGTCTGGCATTGCGAAACATTAGCTTCATGTCCTCTATCAGTGCGTCCTCTGTGTTGTAACGCTCAGTTTTAATGTTGTTTTCAATAGTCCTTAAGTCCATGGGCTCCAGGATGACTTTGTAGTAGTCTGGGTAATCTTTCTTGGACGGTTTGACCATAAACAGATCACAAAGGCGGCGGTTGGTCCCAGCCTCTTTAGCCTCAGTCACGGCTGCATACAGAGCCTTCATTCTGCCTTTTTTGCCTTTTCTATACCTTTGAATGAAAGCAAATGTCAATTTTTTAATTTTTTTTTTAAACACTTCATAAGGCAAAAAAAAAAAAAAAAAAAAAATATATTATATATATATATATATATATATATATATATATATATATATTCTATTATACCCTTTCCGCTTGACACTTCCAGCATCAGATGATAATATACTGTCGCCATCATCTTCATCTCTTCTGAGGAGCTCCTTCTTTTTAGCCTAAAACACCAGATAAATTCATCATGCCTGATTATTGAAAAAAACTCTTAGGTTTAGTATGTAACCTCACCTGCATTATCTGCTGAAGCCTAAAAGCACGCTTGTATATGCTAGAGTTTGGCATATTGTAACGCTTTGCATTCTCAAACATTAAATTCAAATCTGCTTCAATTTGATCTAAATTGTCATAGTCGCCATTTTTAATTTTTTGCCTGAAAGACGAGAAAATAAATTTATATAGGTCAGAACAAATTTGTATGATCATTTATGTACAACTCACCGTATCTGAGTCATAGAAATAGGATGCTTGATCTGTTGATAGTAGTCAGGGTATTCTCGGCGAGAGGGGAGTTGTTGAAATGGTTCTGAAAAGGCTTGTCCCTGGCTGTTTCTGGCAGTTCTTATGGTCTCAAAAAGTTGGAAGATGGGGTTGACAGCGTCCATGGTGGAAGACTGGCTTTCTGACTCAGATTCCCCTTCATCATAGCCCAAAGATACTGCGAAATAATTGTGAATTAAAAAATACTGTAAAACTCAAGAGGTAAATGTATCATTTTTCTAATGTGATGAAGATGCTACCTGACATCCCAGGGTCATCCTCACTCTCTGACCCATAATGAAGAGTTGCACTGACACCAGAGAGTCGATCAGACTGACCAGTTTTACGATTCCTGTAATAATTTTGTACAATTTATTTTTTTCAAAAAATGTTATGTTTTTTTTTTTTTATTTAACATAATAGAACTCCAAACATACCTGATGCGAAGGCTTGATTTGGTAGGTTCTCCATGTTCAAGTTCTGCCTTACGCTGTAGGAAAACTTTCTTGATTGTGTTTGCATCCTGTTAGAGCAATGTAATAAATTACATAAATAAAAGCCCAGATAAACTATTATACCAATAAAACTGATGTACTTACCTTAAAAACCTGAGATCCTGGTTCGTTGTATGTTTTGGCATTTTTCACCATAAGATCAATGTCCTTTGCCATAGCATTGACACTTTTATAATATGAATACTAAAATAATAAAAATTGTGTTTTATAAACATGTGTCAACAATTGACAAAACTCAAGACATTTCAAAAACATTACCTGTATTCTTTGAGTAATTGTTCTGAGGTCAATTGGCTCCTTTATAATGGCATAGTAGTCAGGGTAATGCTAGAACATTAAAAATAAAATGGTGAAATTGCTTTTAATATGAGACAAGTTGGAACAAGAAAGAACAAGAGAAAGAAACAATGGCTTAGAAGATGTTATCAGACAATCAGTTTGCAACATACCACTTTGGAAGGCAGTTTTTGAAACAGCTCACTGATAGGGCGCCCTGAGGGATCAGAATGAGAAACAATTGCTTCCAGAAGTTGTTCTAACACCTCTTTCAAACTTCCAGTTGGGACCTAAAGTAATATATCACATGATTGCCAACATTAGCAAAGTTTGTTTATCAAAAATTTGGAATTTAAAAAAATGACCTCTTCCTCTGTGGACATTCCTGTATTGTCCATATCATCAGCATCTTCATCATCGTCATCATCGGCTCCAGGTTGAACAAACTCATTTCTAGTTTGTAAATACACTTCCCACAATTTACATGCAGCTTGGTATTCCTCACTGTCACTCTATGTTACAAAAATCAAATCAGAAGTATAACACTTGATAAACCAAAGAACAAATAAGAAAGAATTAATAATAATTAATTGTTGTACCGGATAAAAAGACTTGGCGTTGTTGAACATTAGTTGAAAATCTGCAGTAAGATGCTCAACATCATTATAATCCTCTGACTTCAGTTTGTACTGAATTTTTGTCATGTCAATTGGCTGGGACACCACATCATAGTAATCAGGCTGATTCCTAAATGACAAAATGTTACAATTACAGAAGAGTTTACAAATAAAAAGTATGCCACAAACTGTAAACAGCCGCTTTCTTGGACTTCAAATGCGTACTGTGACTTTGAGATAGAGATAGAGATGATATTGCTTTGCCTAGAATATTCCACTGTATAGGTTTAAACTTTTCACACCACCTTTTGACACCACCTGCTCAAGTTACCCCACTCAGTAAGGATGTTGTTCTAGGCATTTTTAGTGTTGAATTAATGCAAGATATGAGCTCAATGCCATATTGTGGAATATTCCAGACACTATGGTGACAAGCATAGGTCGACCCTCCATCAGAAAAGTTACATAATGCATCTTTAAGTTCAGTATCATATTGTGTGTACCTTCTTTTTGGTACCCTCAGGAAATATTCAGACAGTTGCCTCCCTTGTCTATCCTTGTAGTCCCTGACAGCATTGAAGAGTTCATGGCATACGGCAATCTAAGAGGTAAGACAGGGCATGACATTCAACACTGATAATAATAACTGCTGCGATAAATATAAATGGTAAACAATGTGTTACCGTGTCAACCGGAGGGACATTTGACACTCGTCTTCTTTTGCGACCACTTCCAGGAGTTGAGGAGGCATCATCCAGGTCTCCCCCGCCACTGACACTGCTGGACGGGGAAACCGCTCTCCTCCTCTTCGCTGACATCTCTGGCTATTTACACCAAATGGCTAGCCCACTTCCAGCTATGAATAAAAAATTATCATCTCAAAATCAATAAGAGTACAACCAATCTATATAAATAATTTAAAGTTGAAGACGATATCTGCATGTGAAATAACTTAAAATGATAAATATCCGCGACAGAGTGCAATAGCGCTTTATTGTGACTCATAAGCGGTTTACACTAGCGCTTTGAATGTATGAAACAAAGCATATGTTAGCATCGTTAGCTCTGAGACTTCTTACTACCTCAATTAAAGGAGAAATCTAAGCATACAGAGAAAAATGTTGTGAATGAAAATATAGACATGCTCTGGAATGGCATAAATTCGTAATCTTACCAAAAGGATCTGCTTATTTCCCTGAGCAAATGTGGAGAGCAGCTGGCTATTGTTTGAAAACTCCAGACCACCGGAAGTGGAGCTCAACCACACTGTATGTATGAGAAGAGCAAGCCTCCGGATCCCCACTGCCCTCTATGGACTGGAGTGGTACTGCAGCTGTAGTGGACTTGAGCGCCAGCACCTGTTTTACAAGTGATGAATATGCTACTGATACCACCACCCTTCTACTTGACAGAAAAATAATATAGTTTTATATTTAATGAAGATAAGTTAAATTAAGGTGAGTTTTTTTAATCTACTATGTTCTGTTCTATGTTATCATGTTGTTTCCTCATCATAATTCATAAACATGCCGCTGTGTTTTGTTTCATTCACACATGTTTAACAGACCAACCCTGCATATTTAGACTGAATTCTTCTCTCAAACAGAAAACACTCTGTTCGACCTTGTGATATAATTTGGTAATATATAGTGCTCCATACACTTTCACTAGAATCATTTGGATAGTGTCAGCCCTGGAATCGCCCATCTCTGCTGAACTAAAGGTGAAAATAGCTGTTAACTAAAAAAAAACAAAAACACTACATGACATCACCAGGTGGAACAGAGCATTTTGAGCTATGGGGATGTAGACAAGCTAAGAATAATGAATTACTCAAACATGTGTAAATGAAACAAAACACAACAGAGATAATAGCATTATAACAATACTCACAAGAATCAATTTTGTGTAATATAGGACTTAATCTTCATACCGAAATGACAGAATAGTCCAATCTACACCAAAAGATGTTTTAAGATTTAATTTAATCAACTTGCCTCCATAGTGTTATGTGGGACATTGTATCTTTAATGGTTGTTTTCTGAAAATGCATTTTTCTCCCTTAGGGACATAAGATTACTCCTTCTAGTATCAAGTATTTGTACTTCACAAGAGTTTGACAAAATGTACAGAAGGATTTATTTCTTATTTTTATTTTATTTTTTATATATATCACATTCCAAGTCTCATTTATTAAAGTTTTAACCAAAAATACTCAAATACTAAATAAGATATCCAAGATCCCCTCTGTGTATTTTTTGCATCTAATATGTCAACAAAAAGAAGCAAGAAATTTAAGCCTGACTCTTATCATGTTTCTGTTTTGAATGTTTTGGGATTTTTCTTTGTACACATATCTCATTTTGATAGGAAAACATTACATATTAAAATTTGGACAGGAGGTTGTTATAATTCTCTGAATCTCTTCTTGTTTGTCATGTTGTGACTTTTTCCTTATAATTTTAGACAACCTGTCAATGCCAAAAAAAAATCACATCAACCACATGAGGTCAATAAAGCTCATGTTTTGTTTTGTTGCCATTTATTTATTTATTATTGAGGAATATAAAGTTAGGCTTATTAAGAATGTGCAGGCATAAATCTACTGAGGTTTGTTTGTTTGTTTGGTTGGTTTTTTTTTTGTTTGTTTGTTTGTTTTTTGAGCAAGGTACAAGCAAGGTACAAACGTAAGGATATGTGTATGTACTTGCTTGGGACCATTTCTGGTGCTCAAAGGGAGTAGGCTTGAAGTTTAAAAAACCCATTGTGTCCTACCGCAAGGTTGACCTCAACTAGCCTAAGTTCGACACGCTCATGTTGAAAATTTGGCAATGCCTTTGTGATTTCAGAATAGATCTACCTTTGAGAGTTCACCCTTGGTCCGCTGTGAGGCTGTAGCAAAGTATAGCGTTGTTTGTTATTCCAAAATACATTTTGGGATCTCTTGGGTATAGTGGTGCAATTGGGCCTTTCCTGTGTTTATAATTAGGGCCTACCCAGCGCTGCTTTTCCTGGAAACTACCTTTAACAATGTGATGTGCTTAATCAGACATGTCTTGCGCTGGAGCATCACCAAGAGGAGAGCAGATGGACCAAAAGCTGTTGAGGAGGTAGCGGCAGCAGCATAGGCGGCGGTCTGGCGGGCTAAATATGCGAATCACACCAGAGAGAAAGAGGTGATTTTATGCTGCACTACGTCCGCCGCACACGTCCGTATTTTTTCTTGACGTCAGGAGAAGTCTGAACGCGGACTCTGGTCCCTCCCTGCGCACAAGCACCAGCCGCACATCGCTTCACCGAGAGGGAAGACATCACAGCCACTCATCGCCATTTAGGTAGGTCACTTTCTTATCTCAAGTGCATGTCATCTATATCGATAAAGTTGCGTGCGGCTGGGTGTCTCGTGCGCTATGTCACCCATGTTTAACTCCGAGATGTTGTTTTGATGGAGATGCCATGCCCTTTCTGCTCTGCAGTATGCCTTTTGCACACCGTCTTCTCGTTTAAATATGCTTACCTGGTGGCCAAAACTGAAATAGCTGAGATCTTGCAGTGCACCCTTGTTTGCATTTGATCAAGTTTTTGAGGTACATGCTTCACGTGCATGTGATGTATCTTCACGTGCACTCAGAGGCATCTCCATTATTGCCTGCAGAGCTGCACAGTGCTGTAGTGTGTGTACCCATTTGTTTAAAGCTTCACAGTTAAATATAGCATGGTCCCCCAGCTGGTGTCTGCCTCTGTTGATTTTGCCACTGCATGGTGTCTTTTTCCGCTGTCTGCCGCACAGTTTGTCCCACTTTAAAGATATTTTTGTTTCTTTTATGAACATGACCCAGTCCCTTGTCAAACAAAGTGTTGCATATTTGCTTTTGAAGCTTTTGTGTCACAAGCTCCCAGTGTATTCTCAAGTCAGTATTCATGTTTAGACCTGTATATTCAGCAGGCCCATATACAGTCTTTATGGAGATAGAGCATACAGCCGACTCATGTATTTTATACTGTGTCACCAGAATCAGGCCTGCACAACATTAGAAAAGCATGCAGTAACCTCTTTGGTCCACCATCTCTGATCTAGCCTGTTTGATTCATTTTGCTGTACATTAGGTACAATGAAGCTGTTAAGGCTGTCATTTTATTTTGCATTTATGCAGAGACTGTAGAGAGTTTTGGCATGGTAATGCACGCAGAATCAGGAAGTCTAAACATCATGATTTTAACCTTGACTGGATGGTTAAAGCCAAATTTAACAAGAGCCAGGAGTGGAAAGTAACTATATACAAATACTCAAGTGAGTGAGTAGATTCTTTGGGGTATAGTACTTTTTGGAGTAGATTTTTAAACTCATACCTTTAGTTGTAATTGAGTATAATTCCATGTACTTGTACTTAATTACATTTAAAGGTAGGTTTCTGAGTATAGCACAAGTTATTCTGTTTTAAGACTCCACATTTTGTCACTGTCTCTAATGGAATCCTATTATTGCAAAGCATTCATTAGCCAATGCCATATAAAAGCATTTACTGAAAAATCAATTGATTATATTCTGCAGCCCTACTTGACATCACATTTAATCAACTGTCAGACAGTAGTGATTACAATTTACGAAAGCCCCCTGTGCTCTATATATTACAATGTTATGATGCGTTGCTGTTCGCAGAATCAATAGAACCTTTTAGTTTACAGATGCATTTGATGGTCTGTGGAGGTGCACTGTGCTCACTGCTCCTCTCTTACCCCACAGCAGTAGTCTGGCGAGTCCTATCAGTGTTGTAGGATGCCTCTTGGTGATGAGGACGGAAATGGGTGGAAAAAGAAGACTTCGGACATCAAAGACAACTATGATTTCAAAGAAGTGCTTGGAACGTAAGTACAAGTCGGCTATGCATAGATATGAAGTCTCTCTTTGTAATGCTACTGGCTTTCCACTATGTTAGAGCGCTGGATACTTTTGGCTTCTTCACTACAAATATACAATGATATAGAAGGAATGAAGAAGTATTAGAGTAACAGAATCTGGCCATGTTTCTTTTATATCAAAACTCCAACAAACTGAACTTGATGTCCTAATCAACGTCCTTGGTCTGGCCCGTATCTGAGGAGGGAGAGAGTAGAGAAATTATGATTACAATTCACTGGCAAAAGAAGGCTGAAATTTGAACAAACTGGACAAAAGGATTTTTTAGATTGAATATGTTTGCATCCAAGAAGCTATGGACCCGATTTGGACCACTGCAGGGATTAATATTAAGATTTACTCCAAAGCATGGACAAATGGCTCTAATAGTTCTATAAAAGTATTCACTTAGTTTTCTTCTAATTTGCTGCATTCCTGTTTTAATTTTAACTCTGTGTATTTTCTGTATTTGTAGTAAGTATTTCCTATTCTTTAAATGTATTTCTAGAACACTGTTAAAAAGCCTTACTAAAAACTACATACACATTTGAAGTATTGACATTTAAAAAAAAAAAGAAATAGAGCAAAATTTGACCTTTCTTGAATAATGTTAGAATGATCTATATCAGAACCGGTGTAACCCCATATTAACTCTCATTATTTTGTGATCATTTTCATTGTGGTATTGGAATCGATATTGAGGTTTCCTTATTATCCAAATTGAGTTTGAAATGTTAATATCATGGACACACTACAAGAAACCGCTGCATACTTGATCTGAATTGATGACCACTTACAGAGGCAAGAGGTCAGACACCATACTCCCAGCACAGTCTATACAGACACACATTTCATCATTAACTTTTGTCCAGTCCTCGTCCACTCTAGAGGGACATAGTCAGTGTTTTTAGATTCAGCACTACACGGTCAAGCTGCTGATTCATGTATTTTACTTTAGGCAAGAAACTTTTCACTCTCTGTCTCTCCCTTCCTGCTTCTGAAATGTTTAAAATGATTACAAAGTCCTCATGCAGTTAATAGTGAAGTGACAAGGGTAATTTTAGAATCTAATATTTGTTCATTGCAGTTTGTGGATTGCCTTTCGCCTTCATGTTTAATAGTTGGACCATAAAATGAAAGTAATACTGTATCATAGATATTTTATACTCCCAGTGGCACTATGAATTGAAATGATATCAGACACACTATTGATAAAACAATTTCATGATAGCCAGACAGATGTTAGGTTGTTGTAGTCTACTGTGAATTTTTGTCTCCAGGTTTCACTTTGGAGAGGGTGGTTTCATCTGTAGAGTATCGGAAAGCTGTAGTTGGTATGGCAAAGAACAGGGAAAAAAACAGACATAAACATTCTTTGCACAATAGTTTAATTTAAGTCTCACGTTACGAACTGTAATCAATGCATTGTAAATATAGCTAACATACAGTATTAACAAATATCGCCAGTAGCGACATGTTGTTCTGCAATGTGTTTGTGTCTAAATTCATTTCCCCCAACTCAAAGTAAGATCGGGGGTTTGATTCCAGCTCCCACAGGTAAATAGTGCTATTGTGTCCATCGGCAAGACTCAACCTTTTTCTTAATCTTTTCATAAGTGTGAGTGTGTGAGTTTGTTGTGAAGTGCTTACAGTAACCATTTTACCATTTACTTACAGATGACCATTCACTCTCACATTAATACATGATAGTCAAATCGACTGTTTCAGCAAATGTATTGTTCTATAGCTTGGACAAATTTAAAACTAGGCCTTGTGTCATAATGTGATTGACTGTTGTGCTATCTATCAGTTTTCCCCATCCTAATGAGAGCTGCTCTGAAACCTTGAGTTGTAATAGTCTCCTCTCGGGGGGATGAGTCCAGATGGTCCCAGGTTTACCCCCCTCCAAACCGAGTACAAGTGACCCAGCACATGTCCACCTGTGCGGACACGGCAGCGCCATACGGAGCATGCTTGTTTCTGTCCTCTCCCTGCCACACTTGCTTCTCCTGAGAGGGAGGGGAGAGGAGAGAGAGATGGGGATAGGAGAGAGAAAGAAAGAGAGAGAGATGAAGGAAAGAGGGAGAAGGGGGTAGAAAGAAAAATAGAAATGAGAGAGAAAACAGAAAGAGAAGGGGAAAGAGAGAGAGAGGGGGAGAGATATTGGGACATTGGAAAGAGAGAGATAGAAAGAGAGACATTGCAAACAGAGAGAGAGGGAGAGAAAGATGAGGAAAAGGTTGATAGTAAGAGAAGAGAGAGAGGCAAGAGAGAAGAGAGGGAAAATGGGAAAAGAGAGTGGGAAACAAGGGAGAGAGAGCAAGAGAGAGGAGGGGAAAGGGGTGAGAGAATAAGTTAACAAGAAAACGAGGAGGAGAGAGACAGAGATAGGAAAGATGGGGAAAGAAGAGAAAGAGAGGGAGAGAGACAGCACAAATTCACATATTAATGACTGTGCATCTCTTTTCCCCTTCTAAAAAAAGTGGCTAGATGATGAGACTGTCTGACTGCCAAGGCCCGTGGGAGGAAGACTCAGCCAGTCCTCAGTCAATCCCATGTAAATGTATGCACTCCGCTCAACTGTATGTTGAAGGCGCTGAAGGGAACAGACTCAAATGAGTAATTGGGTTGTCAAAAAAATGATCCGCCATACTCAAGACTAAAATTAGTATTGAACCTCGATAATAATTTCTGCATGTACAACTACTTAAGTGTATTTTTATAAGACAAAGTTGAATAATTTACTTTATTGAATAGGTTTACAATGATCTTATCTATCAGTCCTATCAGTTTTCTTTTCTTTTCTGGTGGACGGTCTGTCAAATGCTTTTCTCCTCGGAGATGTTATTGCTTTGTCTGGAACGTTTCACAGTATGGCATTACACCTTTCTGTTTTCATGGAGACCAAACCAGACCAGACAAAGTTACTTGTCAAATCTGTGGAGAGGCAACCCCGCTCACAGTCAGAATGTCTGTTTTTCTAGGTATTTTTGTGCTATAAAACCAGCTGTACTTCAGTAAATGTAATGTATGTTTAATGCCTTACTGTGGAACATTCCAGGCAGAGCAATGATATATCCATAGAAACATACAGGTGATAAATCCATCACTGGAAAAGTTACAGAATGCACCTTTAATATTACAGAAATGACAACCATATTGTTTTTATATACTTTCAAATAGTTTTTAATAGTAATATAGTTTTGACCATTAGAAAAAAAAAAAAAAAAAAATCATGTGTAGTTGTTTTGCCTGTAGCTGCAGCTTTTTGCTGCAACTAAGACTTGGAGACAAATTTCAGGAAATAAATAAAAGTCAACAAGCCTGCCCACAAACATTAAAAGTGACCGCTGCCTAAATATAGACACTTTCACTTTTGAATTGACTGATCGTAATTTTACCTTTGATGTTCAGAATTGCATAACGGGGATTTTCAAAGTGCAATGCAGGAAAGAACAACAAAAAGAGATGGTGCAGGATTTAAAGCAGCCCTTCATCACTGCTGGACGGGGCAGAGGGCAGATCCACTGTGTTGACTGAAAGCTCCTTATGCTCACAGAGGAGATTACCCCGACACTTTATCCAGGATATTCACTGAGACAAGTTAATTGATTTATGTTGAAGTATTATATTCAGATCCTGTTAATCCTCGCAGTTCTACCTTCAGTTGTCAGAACAAGCCGTCCTGAACTTGTGACTATAAACTTGCGGCTATAAAGTATTATGCCGACAAGCTTTTTTTCTTTAGTCTTTAATGCAACAAAGATTGTGATTTGAAAACATTATTCAATCATTTAACTGTTTCCAGATTTGTATTTGGGCTCTGTATTAAGGCTGCCTTAACTTCTTTACACTCCACATTAAAACTGAGACTAAACTGGGACTAAACCCCAAGCTAAACCAGGACTGGAAGAGGACCAAACTAAGTCTACATGATAACTAAACCAAGGCTGAAACCAGAACAAAGTGCAGCCTTGTCATTGCTTTTTAGTGTGTATGATTAACATTTTTATATGGAGGCTGTAGACTGTAGTGGTATGTAGTGATGTCTCAATTGAAGTGCTCTCATTTCCCCATGATGCATCAGTGAAACAATAGTGGTCAGTAGTAGTCAACGACAGCTTCACTTTACTTTAATCGTAAATGCTTTATTTATTCACCTTTTGCTCATTTTTAGCTGTAGGTTTGGGTAATATTGACAATATTTTAGTATTTCTGGATTATCACTATGATGATAGCAATGTTACTATGGAAATCCATCAGAAAGGTGTTTAAACCTATAAGCCTGTAAGTAGTTTGAAGGATTACACTGACAGTTTTATTTGAAATCTTTTTTTCTTTTTTTTTTTTGCACTAATACTACTACTCAGTATAACGTATCTTCAAAACAGTAATTACGATTGTATTTATTTTTCAGTATATCTGCGTCTTCTGCCACCTTTAATTATTGGTCATCAGTGTTTGACCCTGTCCTTCTTGGGTCATAAGGCTGTGTATTGACAATACATTATGGACAGGGACTGTCAACTAGCTCCAGATTCAATTTAGTTGAATCACCTAAATACAGGCAATTCATTTCCCCTACTTTTGACTTTATATTTATTCTGTTCTTATAGTTTCAAGACTTTGCTGCTTTGTTAGAGGATGCAGAGTCACAAAGTGTATGCCTCTAAAAGGAGCCGGCTCTCAGCTCCCTGCAGTGTGCTATATACATGCCTGTGTATTTGCTGTGCTGGTGAAATCGATGCAGTGATAGATGATGTAGGCCTTTGTGCTCCTGACTGATGGTGTGCTTCAGAACACCACAACCACACCTCATGGGCTTTTCTCTGCACACCTTATAAATACATTTAGTCATACATTTTAGATGTTCAGGGGAATTACCAAGAGAGACTTGTTTTGTTTTAGGGGTTTTTTAGGGTTTAAGTATTACAGTTAATTTTGTTATTCAAATCTGTTTTCAGGTGCA